AGAGGGGATACGAACAAAGACAGGGAGGAAAATGTGTAGCCCGGTCAGGGCTTCCCAGGATTGGGAAACACTCCAGCTGTGTGGGTCTGCCTCCCAGAGGGGCTGGGCCGGGCGCCTGACCTCTTCCCACTTCTAGGAGAAGGACAAAGGGCAGGTTGGGGCTTGAGCCCGTATCCAGCTGACGCCCTGACCCGAAGCCAGGGAGGCCAGAGGGAGAGAAGCTGGAGTGGGGGAGACCCAGGACTAATAGGGAGGAACCGCGGGAGGCGCCTGGCTAGGCCATGTATGTGACAAGGCTGGGAATTTCCCCAGTGTCACTTTACTCCTTCTCTCCAGCGTGTCCTAGAAACCAAAGGGTAACAAGCAGGCCCAGGGACACGGGGAAACCATTGGGATGGAGAAAGACGCCAACAGGAGGGAGCCTGCAGGATTCGTCAGCAGCAGTGCCTCCCGGGCCTGGCACCCTCGAGAACTCTCTGTGAGGTCTAGGGCAAGCTGCCCCACTGGTGTCCTCCTGCGGGGGAAGGAGAAACACGATCCCGCTGCCTTTCGCCCAGGGCAAGCCTCGTGGCTTTAATTCTCAGTGCCTTGTGGGTCAGGCACCATGGGGACTTCCTGGCACTGCTAAGGAAGCTGAGGCACGGAGCTGTAGGTGTCGGGACTGTTTGAAGCCCAGGGTTGATGGGCTCCAGAGCCCACATCTTAACCCCCACATGATGGGTCTCTTGGGAAAGGGGCAAGCTGTGGGTATCAAGTGGTTTCATGCGCCTTAGGAAGCCACGTGAACGGGCACAGGCATGACTATCTTGCTCTCTCCTGGCACAGCTACTTGGGAAGTGGGGAGAAAGAGTTTCAGAGGCCTTCGTGGGCTGAGAGAGGGAAGCTGGGGGCCATTTACCCTGTTTGTTCATTTACTTCTTACCAAAAAAATGCACCTGGTACAGTTGTAGTTAGTATCCTGGGCTCAAAGTGCATTATCTCATTTAACTATCACCCAGATCTCTGTTTAATGTATGTACACACCCAATGCCAAAAAGTACCTAGAATCCACTACAGGGCTTTACATTCCTGAGACTGCCTTGGGCTGTGTAGCCAAGGAAGGGACCTGGGTCTGCTCTTTTCCTAGTTTATTAGCTGCCTGTCCTGGGTTCGAGTCACCCACTCTCCTCCGTGTAGGAGGCACATGCTTGTTTGATGGAGAAACACCATTTCCCATCAGTGGGTTTGAGAGAACAGCATTGTGCTTGCTGGGAGCAGGAGCCTGGGGTCCTAGGCTCAAGTTTTAATCACAGACTGCAGGTGAGACCTGGGGGCTCCCACCCTTCTCTGGCCCTAGGGGTGGTTCCAGCCTCACAAGGAAAAGGCTGGGTTTAGTCATTTCCAAAGGCCCTTGCACCGCTGGCGTTCTGAGTCCTGGGTCTTGCTCACTGGCAAGACTTCACAGCACGATGCTTTAGTGCACTGAGTTTAAGAGCCCAGCTCTACATGCTAAAGCTACTTGTTGCTCTGTGAGATTGTGGGGCAGTCACTGAACCCTTCAGAGGCCCCATTTCATCTTGGACATGGGGGTGATAACCCAGCCCTCACTGGCTGGTTGGGAGACACCGCGTGTGAAGGTGCGAGCTGCTTATCCAGCAAATATTCCATAAATGCTACTTTTTTATGCGTCCTGGGTACAGCCTCCACCACCTTCCGGGACTTTATTTAGAGATCAACTGATTACAGGTGGATTTCTTGGTATGCCTTTTATTTTCTTCAAATGTGTATTTGGGTCTGACTTTGGAGCCACATCAATAGAGACAGTGGTGGAGGAGGGAGGGGTGGAAAGGAGACTGGGGAGTTGTGCGCTTTGAAACAAAACACAACACAACGCAGCACGGGTAACTTGCTCCTCCTCCCAGGTGGGGCTTTGCCTGCTGTCACTCTGCAAGAGCAGGAGGCTGCCACCTGCCTGAGTCACTCCGCTCCTAGCATCAGGCCCAGATTGCTGACCTGGAAACCCCCTTCCAGGCTGAGGGGTGGCAGGGAGTGCCAAGCTGGGGCTGCTGTTTCCTGTCCCTGCTACCCCACAGGGGATATGGATGGTGGGCTGCAGCCTGGTGAAGCTGCATCAACAATGGGGTTCTACCCACTGAACAAACCAAATGTATGTGCCACGATCATTTCCCCAGCACCTGCTGTGGGCTAAGCCTTCGCTTTATCTCATTTATCCTCCAATCAGCTGAGGGGTAGGTGCAGTTATCCCCAGTTTGCAGAGAGGAACCAGAGGCTGAGAGAGGCCAGCCAGGTGATAAGTGGTTGGGTAGGGGTTGGAGCCCCATTTGTTAAATCCATAGTCTATGTTCATGACAGGGTTGAGTTTTTTGCAAATAAGCAAAAATATCATGACATGTTGAAGAGAACATGGTACAGTGGACAGAGCACACAGGGCTGGGAGCCAAGGTCCTGGGTTCCAACCATTGTTGTGTGATTCAACATATGTGGCTTTGAGCAAGTCCTTTTGTGCATAGAGGCCTCAATTTACCTACCTGAAAAATGGGGAGCATGATCAGTGGTCTCCGCAGTGCAATGTTCAGAAGTCAAAGCCGATGGAAACGGATGAGAGGGCTAAGGGCAGGCGTGACTTGGGACGGATGACTTTTCTCACAAGCTGTAACTGTTAAAAGAATGCCTCAAAACAGACTGGCACACACATGCGCACACACACAAACACAGGGTGACCAAGATGTGTCAAGCCTGGGCATTCGCCTGACAAGTCCACCCTGGAGTCACTCAGCACTTAGGGAGTTAAACTGCTTGCGCAACTCTCTAAGGCCAGACATTTTTGCAAAAACAGCTGAAACAGTGAGGAATGAGGAAATCCCTCGTATTAAAGAAAAATTGTCTTTATGGCAAGAGGTGGGGGTGGAGAAGACTTGGGGAAGAGGAAGAGAGGCTTCTGAAAGCAAGAAAACTGGCACTGGGGAGGAGATGGGTGGAGAGGGTGTGCGGCAGCAGCTGTGTGAACAGGACTCAAGACTTCCAATCTTGCTGTCACCTCCTCCAGTGGTAACATTCAGTGGCACTTTGCATGGTCTTTGTATCCATCTATCACACACACACATGACCTGCTTTTCTGTAGAATCAAGGTATGCATGTACTTCTTTCCAAAACTGCTTTTTAAAAAGATTTATTTCAAAGCGGGGGGGTGGGGGTGTGGAGGGAGGGAGAGGGAGAGAGAGAATCTTTCATCTGCTTGTTCACTCCCCAAATGGCCACAACAGCCAGGGCTGCACCAGGCCAAAGCTAGGAGGCTGGACCTCCATCCGGGTCTCCCCCGTAGGTGGCAATGGTGTGAGTACTTGGGTCATCTGCTGCTGCTTTTTCAGGTGCATTAGCAGGGAGCTGGATTGCAAGTTGAGCCCCCAGGACTGGAACCAGTGCTTATATGGGATGCTGGAGTGGCATGCAGTGTTTTAACCTGATGTGCTGCAACCCTGACCCCTTCTTTCCATAATTAAAATGACTTATTAGAAAATTGTTCTGAGAAATTGGTAACACCTTTGAAATAACTGAAGACACCCCAGGATGTCACAAAGCCTAAAAGGGAATCCCATATACTTGGGATGGGAAGGTGTGTGTTGACAGTTAACAGTTGATTGACAAGTGTTCCTTCTGTGAAATGAGGGCATATATGAAATAGTCCCCCTAACTTTTCCCCACTAATCCTTTCTAAGAACGAGGGCCTGTAGTGATGAATTTTTTGAAAAGTTCCAGGGAAGCAGGTGTTATGCAAAAGGTTTTCCATAAAGCTACTGTTGTAGAACCCAAAGAAACCTGGATTCATTAGCTTGATGCACAGTAGACCAACCACTGTCAGCCCGGTGGTGAAAGAGTTTTTTTTTTTTTATAAAAGATTTATTTGAAAGAGCAACAGAGAGGGAGAGACAGGGAATTTATTCTGCAACATGCAGAGCAAGAAGTTGGTGATGGCTTAATTCCCGAATTGCCTAAGGACTCAAGGGTGGTGAATTTTATAGGATGAAGTTGGGGTTGAGTGTACAAGATCAGTTTGTGGGCCGGTCTCTGGTTGGTCCACAGTGCTTGGGCGCCTTCCCTTGATTGGTCAGTGGTAAAAGAGGCTGTTGTGTTCTGAAGACGGCTGAGTGGGCTCTGACCTGTCTGGGGTCTACCAATGGATTAGGGATTGTTCTGTTGGGGCAGCGTTTGGAGTGCTTGTGACACTCTCAGAATAGAATCAGAATCAGGCTGTGAAGCTCGGAGGTGATCCCTGGCCTTAGGCTCTCGTGGGTCAGCCTGACCCTCTGCCACTCCCTTAACTTAGTGAGCTGATCTCTCCTAAGGAGATGACCTGTACAGGTGGAGGTGAAGGCAGAGAAGCTGCAAGCCGAGGGAGAGGGGCTCAAGTCGACCTCCAAAGCATTAGGGATGAGCGTTCAGTTTCACCGCCCAGCTAAGAGCTGCTCTTCATCCAAGGCCTGCCTCCTTTTGGGAATGAAACATCTTTGTTTTAAATAAAGTGATGGGCTTACCAAAAGGTATGTTTAACTCGAAAGCAAGTTACCGTTCCCTATCGGATGTAGGACATTCCACGGCCTGGGCTGGCAGGCTAGAAAGCAGGCCCTGGATGTGCCCATCTGGGTTTGGATCTTGATTTAGCCCCGTGGGATTTCACATCTCTCTGCACCCAGCCTCACCGGAGCGCTTTACGGTGAAAATCCACCTCCCTAGGGTGACTGTAAGCGTCCCTGTAGCTCCAGACCTGCTAAGAGCAACGGCTCAGCAGTAACCGGGGCTCCGGCTCTGGCTCAGCTCCAGACGCTGACGAGCCTTCTGGCAAGTCCCCTCGCGCCCTGGCTGCGGCCCACCGGCCGCCAGCGGGAGGGCCTGGGTGGTCCCCGCGGCTCGCCTGAAATTCCGGCTTTCGCAGCTGGCCGCAGGCCTCAGCCTGGCACTTCCGGCGCACGGTGGTGGTGGTGGAGGCCGTGTCGACGCGCACGGCGGCGCGCCGACGTCAAAGGCCGCTGCCCGAGGAGAAGGCCGCTGCGGGACTAGGCCGGAGCCCAGCGGCCACCCCGCAGGCTCTGAGCACCGGGGTAGCCCGGTGGCCGCTGTTTACCTCGCGCCGTCCCACCCCTTCGGCAGCCGCGAACCGCCCGAAGCGCGCGGCGCAATTGGGCCATCGGCCTGTCAGTCGCCGGGGACTTTCCCAGGGGTGGGGCGGGCACTTCCTCGTCTTCGGACCTGTCCGCCTGCCCTGGTCCGGGAGCCGGAGGGGTGCTGCGGGGCCGGAGCCGGGCCCCGGCCACTGCCCCGTCCCAGGAGCCGAAGAGGGGGGCGCTGTCCCCCCCAAGACCCTGCCCTCAGGTAAGCTGGTCTGTCCCGGCCAGGGATGGAGGGGGAGGCCGGGATCGCGGAGGATCTGAGTCTCGGCAGTGATGTGGCGTCGGTGGGAGGTCTGGCCTGGACCCCAGCGGGAAGGGACCTCCACTCCCTCCGGCAGTGGAGCTGGAGTTGCGTGGGACTACCCGGCCGGCGCCGAGGGTGCGGGGCGCGCGTGCGCACTGCGCGCTGGGAGCGGCGCGGGGCAGCGTGATGGGCGTGCGGACCCCCGCGGCGCGGCCAGGGCCCACCCGGGCGGGCGAGGGACTGTGAACCGGTGGAAGCTGAGGCACCCTGGCGGCGTCGCTAGTTTCCTGTAAAGTTTTAAAGCGGTGTGCACATGTAACGAACGGGAAAATAGTAATAACTTACTGGGTGCCTTCCAAGTACTGATTTCAGCGCGTTATGTGTGTTAAGCGCATATCCATCTTAAACGTGATTATTACTCGTCCCCACCCCCCCCCCCCTTTTTTTTACGATGTAAGAAGCCTAGGCACTTGGAGGTTGGGGTCCCATGTTAGTTGTGAAGTTGGGATTTGAACCCCTCGCTTTGTTGGAGAGAGAGCTGTGTGCATGTGCAGGGTGGATGTAGTGAGTTTCCGGGATTTGGGGGTGGGGTTTTTACCTACCGGGTGAGTTTTGCACTGTAGGACATTTGTGTGTGAGAGAGAACGTGTGGAAGTGCTTGCATTGCACATGCATTAATTGTGTGCACAGGAGCGGGTGGGAATTTTGTGGGGCTGGGTGAGAGGCTGTGTTTTGGTCAGGGGAGGGAGGGGCTTTTGTGGATGATACAGAGGAGTCAGCAGCGTCCAGCCCCGGCCCCTTGCAGAATGACAGTGCAGAGAAGTGTGTGGATTCCTGATACATCATTTTAATTTCACAGCATCGTCAAACTGGCATTTAATCAGCACTTACTCATTTTCCAAACAGTGGGTTGTGGTATAGGGGAATTTGGCATCTCATGAGAGGTCAGAAAAGGGGACACTCAAAAATTTCTGAAATTCCTGACATCGTGTTCGTTAGGAGGGTGGTGCGTTGACCAGCCCAAACTCACAGCAGCCCTGCGGCGCTGTCTTTGGAGCCCTGTTTTGCCGCAGAGGAAAGGGATCCATGAAAACACCCATAAGGATCACTCTGCCAGCTTGCATTTGTGAACACGGACCTTGTGCCCCGCATACTGCCTTGTGGTCAGTGTCTTGCTTAGCCTAACAGCCGTACTGTAGCCTCAATTCTTAGGACACTGAGGCCCGAGCAGGTTAGGACTTGCCCGAGACTAGGAAGCCTGGGCCCTGGTCCCTGTTCCCTTTCCAGCAACCAGGACTGCTGTCCTGGCTTGGTTCTGGGCAAATAAAGTGACCCTGGCATGGCACTTGATGAAAGCATTTGATCAGGCCTTCCTGGAAGCTGCTGCCGGAGACTCCTGCGTTCTGTGCACTTGAATGCTGTTCCCACCTGGTCTGACGCGTGTCCTGTGGGTGTGCATTGACACTCGTGCGGAGGGTTGCCACCTGCCCCCAGCTGCCCATACTGGGTCCTTTGGGGCCCCAGGAAGCCGTGGGGTCTGACTCATTCCCTCACTCCCAGTGCTCCCTGACCTTTCTATGCAAAGTAGCCCCTTTTTTCACTTTCTGTCATATTAGTTTTTTTTTTTTAATATACATTCATGATGCTCTGAACTAATCTCATTTATTTCCAAATGAGAAAGTATAAGTTCAGAACTTAGTGGCTGTCGTATAGTTACTTTTAGTATTTATTGTCTTTCTCTTTGCCTGGAGTTTAAGAATGAGAGCAGGGACCTGTGTAGCCTTCACATGTGTGTCCCTGGAGAAGAATGTCTGGGTACGGCTCTGCTAGGTTTGTGCAATAATGAGTAGAAGAGAAGAAACTGGAATCCTGGCGCATTCCAGAGATGAGGATACCAGGGTCTGGCGATGGGCAGGCACGGTGAGAAGCGGCAGCTGCTGTCCGGTGGCATTTCCCCCCACGTGATCGTGGGCAGCCACCTCCTGCCGGCCCCTGTGCTCAGTGCTGTGGAGTGTTTGGGGGGCGCAGGTGCACGAGGAACTGCTGTGCCCTCCAGGAACTTGTAGTCGAGTGGGGAGAAGTGTGCAGTGAGCACTACCTGGAAGGCCTCGTGTGCCACAGGGCGTCTGGCCAGCAGCATTATGGCTGGAGTGTGGGATAACTTAGGGGCACAGGTGATCAGGGAGGGGACCCGAGGGAGACCCTAGGGAGACCACGTGCAGAGCAGGGTGTGGCCCTCAGCTGGACTGCAGTAGGCAAGGCAGGAGATTTGCACAGAGGCTCACTGGGTTGCAGGAATGGACCGGCTGGGCAAGAAATACCCTGAAAGGTCTTGATCCCAGGCATAGATGGGTTGGTTTTCCGGAGTAGCAGGGGCTTGTTATACAGACGGTTGGGCTGCACCCCTAGAGCAGCTGATCCAGTCGGGGTTGGGAGTGCGGGAAGGCTGATGCTGCTCTTTGAGAACCCCTGGTGCAGACAGAGCGAGTGCTTCGGTGTTCTGCTGACCCTGCTGGGTGCTGCCTCTGCCACGCTGGGCCTCCGCTTCCTCATCTATAAGCTCAGTGCCCTGCTAGCCCTACCTTCAAGAGGGACAAGAATTCATCACGAGACCGCTGGCACCAAGCACCCAGCCCAGGGCAGACCTGTGGTGAGCACTCAGGGAGTGCTAGTACCTGGCTCTTGTTAACTGTAATGAAGAGATTCCAGTGGGAGGGACTTCTGAAGATGGGCTGGTCGCTCACACCTCTGGGTAATTTGCCTTCAACTTTGTACCACCTGTGGACTCCACTGGAATAGTGCGAGATGTGGCCCAGATTCCTGCAACAGCTACAGCACCCCTCTGCTTGACCCCCGGGCTCAGGGAGCCCCTCTGATGTTGCAGACATCCTTTTCTGTGCCCACTGGAGTCTAGGCTCTTCCTTTCTCACCTCCTTCTTACTCCTTCCTTGCTCACTGGACCACTTGAGGGAGGGGAAGCCGTAGTGCGGAATGGTTAGAACACACCGGGGGCTACCAGAAGCCTGGGTTTACATTCCTCCTGCGGCAAATTGCAGCCCTTAGCTGGCTTTGCTTTCTCAGCCACACATGGAAGGGACCGTGCTCACCAGCATCTCAGGGCCTTCTCTCCTGGTTCCCAAAAACCCCAACCAAACCAGTGATGGGATGGCCTGTCTTTGGCTCAAGCAGTTCCCCGTGTTTTCCCACTGGCCAGGCTCTTCTGCGCCCACTGCCCTGGCTTCTGCTGCTGCCCGTGTCTGCCCATGGTGCCTGCCTCTCGTCTCCCTGTCCATCTGTGGAGGGAGTGTCTCCTGGGGCTCTCAGGAGCCTGCCAGAGGAAGACCCAGGGAAGCAGAGAGCAACTGCCCCTGCTCTGCGGGGAAGCACAGCTCCCAGTCCCCAGAGACAGACCTTGGCAGTCCCCATGGTCAGTGCAGGAAGTTCTTGGTGTTTTTCTCATGACTGGCTCAGGACACTCACTCTTTTGATTGGAAGGGATGACTGGCAAGGAACAGCTGGCCCTCACCCTGAGGCTGTGGCCTGAGAGGCAGGAATCCTGTGTCCTTGAGCACCTGCATAATGGACAGAGCAGGCTGTGCAGGCAGATAGTGTGTGTGTGCATGTGTCACGTCAGCGGGGGTTGAGCTCAGGGCCAGCGCTGGTATTTTTAGGGCAGATGTGGGGGTGCCCCATGAGTCAGGGGCCTTAGGTTTGCTCTCTGCTGAGTGCTTACCGCCTCTCTGCTGCTTTTGAGCCACTTGGCCTTCGTCACCACCAGCTTTGCCAGTGTTTTGAGGGACCCTGAGCTCTCCACACTCCTCCTTCTGCTTCTGCAAGTGCTACACCTCCTGGTCCTGACCCTTGGGATTGCTGACACTGAATTTAAGAAACCGTTAAGGAGTCTTCAGATACAAGGAGTGACGTACAGACCCCTGGGCACCCGTTCGTCAGTTTAAGAACTAACACATTTTCTGCACACCTAAACTTTCTCCCTGATCACCCCCCTTCCCCTCCCCCCAGAAGAACCATGTATTTTGAATGTGGTGTTTATTATTCTTTGGCATTTCTTTATAGTTTTGTTATAAATGAGTGCATCTCTAAACAAAATATAGTATTGTTTTGTGTATTTTGAAATGTTACTTAAATGCAGTCATACTGTCTGTCTGCTTCTGCCACTTGCTTGTTTTGCTTAATATTATATTTGTGCAGTTCATCCAGGTTTGTTATCTGTGGCTTTGTTTCTTTCATTTTCCCTGCTGAATAGCATTCTTTTATATGAAAATGCCACACTGCATTTATTTTCTTGTTCATTTAGATCATTGCCAGCCTTTTGGTGTTACAATAAAGTATATTTAATTTTTTTAAAGAATATTTATTTATTTAAGAGGCAGAGTCACAGACAGAGAGAGGGAGAGACAGAGAGAGAGGTCTTGCATCCACTGGTTCCCTGCTCAGATGGCCACGATGGCGAAAGCTGGGCAGATCCAAAGCCAGGAGGTTCTTCTGTGTCTCTCACATGGGTGCAGGGGCCCAAACATTTGGGCCATCTTCTATCGCTTTCCCAGGCCATCATCAGGGAGCTGGATCAGAAGTGGAGTAGTCAAGGCTCAAACCAGCACCCATATGGGATGCTGGCAACACAGGCAGAAGCTTAACCTACTAAGCCACAGGGCTGACCCCTATTTAACTTTTTAAAAAACTACATATTTGTGGCATCTTTTGCTTTGATCTAAGTATCTCACCCCTTTAGCCTTTCCCTTCCTAGACCTTTGATAGCCATTCTCACTGCTGTTTGGGTAGGACTCTAAGGTTTCGGGAGCTCTGTGGCTCCTACTTGTTCTTATAGTATTTCCATAGAGACAGACAATGAATATGAGGCCGGCCCAAGGTCAGTCAGGGAAGAGCAGAGCTAAGATTTGAGGCCATTAAATTCTCTTCCCAGTATATTTGATGTGAAA